AGCGTATAAATATAGATTTTTCTCTCCATTGTTTGCTTTTATATGATACTCGCTATAAATAAATGTGGTATAGTACCTGGGGGATGAAACACTACCCCCCTGATTAAACCACCAAAAATCGCCTGACATCCAAAATTTCGTTCTCCAAATTTGGCAATTAAAACGAACATTTTATGCACACTCTCGCCTTCTTGTTCGTTAATATTCTCACACGAAATCCATTTCAATCAAATTAGTCAGGTATGAATACCTTTGAAATTCTATCCAAAAATTTTACCTGTGATTTTCACTTTAATCGATTCCCTGGTACGATGCATTTGCTAATGAGACTGTGACTGATTTCTATCTCATGAAATATTTATTTTCCTTTTAATTGCATTTAAGCTACGTATGTACTGTATAAGCTAACCGATAAGTGGCAAGAAAATATCATATCACATTCTCTCCACCGGTATAATATACCAGGTTATTACATTCTGTACGATGGCGATACTGCCACTATTTCTCTATTTGACAATGGAAGATCGAGGTCACATATGTTCGAGTCTCTGAGCACAATGAAAAATGTGTCACCACAAATCGATATCTGGTAGGAGACTGAATGTCTCCGTACATTGTTTGATCCATTGCGCGCAGTCCTTTGATAAATAAATAAAGGAGATATATTCGTTATATTTTCATCTTTATTCCTTGTCAATACCGATATCACCATCATCATCATTATCATCTAGGATAATGGTACTGGTATCTGGTCCAATGGATTTTTATTTTTTACATATGAATCATTAACAAGTTTTTTTTTTGTTCACGATGTGAAAACTTCGCTTCAATTACTAGCGAAAGTATAATTAAAGGCGAAAGTACAATTAAAGCCTTTACTCCAATTATACGCTTGATTTTAACTGATTGGAGACAGCTAGGGTACTTCTTTGTAGAAAGTATCAATTTTTATCCTTACATTGTGTTCATGTAAGTGTGTTCTATAATGACCAAAACTTTTTTTAAAATTTCTATACGTAGGATTTTGCACTTTTCATTGTAATATTATGGGAATGCTGACTGGAAGTATAAAAAAAAGTTCATAAATAAAATGTAAAAACATACATAAAGTCATTTAGAATAAAATAACTATAGTACAGTGAAAACTGTCTTATCCGACATAAACTGGGAGACATTTTGTGTCGGAACATACAGGGTATCAGATTGCACAGGGTCGGATTAGACAGTTTTCACTGTACTTTAGAACACAATGTAATAATACTACCAGAAACTGATGATTAGCCTTAACTACTCTTTCAGTAAGATGAAGAATCATTGCAGTTCTTTGTTTCCAGTTTACAGTAGTGCAAACAGTTGAGTTTTGTAAATGTAACACATAAAACAAGTAATATAAACCTATGTTACAAATAATTCAAATAACTATGGTGTGTGTAAAACGTTGAAAACAACAGTTATCTACTAGGTCATATTTTGAATAATATCAAGGAGAAATAGAGATCGAGTTATTTTAAAGAAATTCAAAGCATTTACATGTATGTGATATGTTTAATTATGACTATTATTATTATAAAAGGTCGTACCTTGCACGTCACTGTGTAGCTGTACATGTAGTATTTTAAAATGTACATTTTTGCCCTTTCATGACGATTACATTTATCTTAAGTTGCATCTAAGTGAACTAGATAAAAGACTCCCCAGTAGCGTGACTGAGAAATTAATTAGAAATACAAAAAAAACATATACATACGTGTACTAGTTAGTAGTATATAATACATGTCACCGAACATAAAGCGGTTATAAATGTGAACCAAAACCGGTTTATAACAATGTTGTTCTCTACTTATAATCTCCGTATAGAAATTTAGATGAATTTAAGTGAATTAAAATTCTAAATTTGATAGAGGATGATTCTGGAGAATATGGAAAAGACACTGTCTCTCTCAATTTCCTTATGAATATGATTCAACATTCCAATTATTTTTGTCTTACTGAGAGCACTAAGTGTATCCCCTGACTTGTACAGGAGTGTACAATCTACCTATATTACAGTACACATTTGTAGAAATAATGGTACGTTCTATATATAGGTTTTGAATTTCTGTTCATACTACTTAATTATGAGAATTTTTAAGGACATTGATCCAATTTGCTCTTTAAAAAACATATACTTCGTCAGAATTAAAGGACTACATGCAACATAAATCAAATTTACATAAAGAATACATGAATGAAGTATTCACTTAGATTTATGCTAAGTTTTATGCAAAATGGTCCATTGGAACAAATCAAAATTTATAGACAGAGCAGAGACATATTTCTATAAGGAAAACGTATGAAATACTAGATTAATATAAACTTAAAATAACCTGAATATAATTATAACGAGACCTTGGTTATATATTGTTGTCCGAATTGTCTGGCAAAATAGTACTAAAGAATTCTTTTTTTGTGTGTGTGCAATACTTTTGAGTTTTGTAGCAGTAACATCTTGAAGTTAGGTGTTCATCCTGAAGAAATTATGAAAAAGATCAGACAGATGACAATTTAGAAGTTTTATTAGCAAAAGTTCGAGTGTAGTAATTAATGTAAGCTAAAGTACTCACGTGTATTATAAAACGAAAATTTTCTTTTAAAAGTAATTTTCAGAAGTATGTTCATGGAACTGGTATAGGGTTACGTGTATTGACATTTTCTCTACCACAAGAAATTGTCATGGTAACCTTTAATTAACGGCAATTTCATTTATGACCAGCATTAGCACCTGAGGCTAACACCTTACATCAAATATTTTTGGAACTTTCGACAAAATAGACACCTGTTCTTATATCTATTAATATTGAATTAATTAATGACCTATCCGTATTTCAGGTCATAGAATACCAGAATTGGGAGAAAGTGGGGATTTGTTCATACCCTCTTGTTTTTTATTAATAAATTAATTCATTAAATGTTAAATTAAGAGTAAATATGATTGGGGGTATTCTTTTTCTTCTTTTTCTTCTTCTTTTTTTTTTTTTTTTTTTTTTTTTTTTTTTTTTTTTTGATTTTTTTTTAATTTTTATTTACATGTATTTATTTATTTATGTTTTTTTTTTTTTGAATTTCAAAATAGATATATAAAGGTTTATATTTGGGCAGAAGGAAAAAAAGGCTGGTTTAATCGGGAAATTTCGTGATAAATACATGTGTATGAGTTTTGGGTATAACTGAACCTGCACATGTTTAAATAGTTTCTATAAATATGCTTTGAGCATATCCTATGTCCTTAAAGTATATAAAGGCTTATTGCCAAAGGTTGGTTTTACTTGCAAAATTCTAAAGGTCTTCGACGTTTTACATTGAAATTTAAGAAAAGAAAATTGATCTACAATAATACCATATTTTAAAACTCAGTTACAATGTTCTAGATTCTTTAGTAATGGATATAGAAGCTTTAAAAACCCTCCAGGCAAATTGCAGTTACCATGGTTATTGGTGATGTTTATTAAAACGATTCCAGCATATACATTGTAGTTTTCGGAAATGACTCCAATATTTACCTTGACAGAACAAACGTATCGATGTCTGCATTGTTAGAATACTAGTAACGAACACTTTTTTCCTTAATTAATGAAAATTCCGACGACAGTTTTTCTGGGTCATGGTAACTAATGAAAACATGACAGGGACTATTATTCCATATAATGGCCCCACATACTGCCGTGAAATATGGTTTCTTCATTGTACATTAGCTAAGCCGGTGTCAAATATTGAAATAAGTCGGGGCTATTGTAATTACCAGGTAATGTGGCTGTTATTATAATCGATGATAATTTGTTTATCATCAGCAATCGCCAATCTGGACGTCCATCGATTTTTTTTTTGCCTTCATCCTGTCTCTTGACAATTGCTAAACACTCCCGGGACCCCGCGGATTGCCTACAAATTACATTTATTTACTTATTTTTGCAAGGAAAGTGAATCTATGGTAATCGACATCTGTCAATGTTGTCTGAACTAAAAAAAAATATTAATTTTTTGCTTTTTTACATTGTTTTATATAAGATGTCGCCCATCTGTTATACGATAGTGCTTGTCTAATGCCCAAAAACTGTGCAAATTCTTGCAGGAATCAATCAGTGTTCCCTCTCTCTCTCACACTTTCCATATATATATATATACATTGTATATCTATCTATCTATCTATCTATCTATCTATCTATATGCACACACACGAGTTCAGATAAATTCGTTTTGTGACTTTATCTAGATCAACGATTCAAATATAGACTTGTATACTCTGGGGATAGGAATCTCAGAATTTTTATGAAAATTTTCAATTATAAGAGTGGATTTCATCGTTGAAAATGAAATTTGTATATTGTTAATAATTTATCAAGGATTAAACTATTTTGAGCAGTGATTTTCTTGACTTCCCTATATGATTTCTAAAAACGTGACTTTTATTTCTAATTCAGGCACCGTAGTAAAAAAAAAAAAAAAAACTTCACAAGGAAATTCAAATTGAATGATTCTTGTAAAGTTTTTTCAGTATATTTATCGATATTTATAAATATGACAAGTACTTATTAATTCCAATGCAAGGAAGGAGATTTGTAGAACATACCAATTTTATTCTGTTATTTTTCTTTCTTTTTAAGTTATGATTTAACACATCATAATATGATGAATTTGAATTGATTTGTTATATACATATGAAAAATGCGTTTTGCTTAATTATTATATAATTAATCTTAAGGTTGAAATAAATGTCCCATAAAATATATATAATTGGTAAGTATAGACAATCTGAGGTTCAATCAAAAACTTCAACATATATGTAAATATAAACCAAAATCCTGCGGAAATAACATGAATATTGATGATATTTTTGTCTATAAGGATAAGTTTGTTGTTCTCGTAACTTTATATATATATATATATATATATATATATATATATATATATATATATATATATATATATATATATATATAATTTCAATCATAATATGTACAGAAAAATCTTAGGTACGAGTTGTCTAGCTTTGATCAAGAATGCATACAAAATACCTGTAAAAATATTGACGCAAAAAGCGTTGACGAGATGTTTAAAATTAACCATTCATTAACTCATTATATGTTCAAATGACACGACGTGTATATTAAAAAAAAATTGAGCACTTAGCCTTGAACACGCAAAAAATGTTTAAAAAAATAAGCTTAGTTGCATTCAAAAAGTCATATCATATCAACTGATAAGACTAGAAAAATTAACGACTAATTACACTATGTTATATAATATAATATAATATAGACTTGTGTCTTTTCCAGTTGATTCCTGAAGTATCATGATTTCTTTTAAAGATATTTGGCTTGTAACTTTAGTCGATATCATCGTCATAAAATTCATTTTGTCCCCAGTTGTTTTTCTGGAAACCACCGTGTTTCTTCTTGAACTCCCTTCCTTTCTCTGCCTGTCCAAGTTGAGTCCACATCTTCTCAACGAAAGAAAGCATTTTCGGCATTCTTTCAGCCAGAGCTTCGATTTCAGGCATATACTGATGCATCATTTCTTGTTGTTGCGAAGCAACGCAACAGGTGCTAAGTTTCTGGTAGCAGCCAGCGAGTGATGTGTTTAAGGATGTTGTTAGTTTGTAATTTTTCCTTCCTATTTCCTGTTTTAAGGTAGCGTCTTCTACCTCGCTCACGTCCAGAATATCCTCATGCAGTGCTTTCTTTAAAAGAGAAATGGCTGTTTTAATAAACACCAACGATTCTTCGTCTTTTTTCAAGAAGTTGCACGTTGTCGCAATGTCTTCCAGTAATTTCGCTTCCTGGCCTTTGTTACCTACGGAATGGACGGGAATTGGCATATTGCAAAATTCGGACTCTATTTCTTCCTCAAGAAGACTCTTAATGAAAACAGTGTCCTCCGTTAGGTTCATACTACTCAGCTTTGTATGATACATGTCGTCAAACATTCTAAATAATTTGTATCTTTCTACATCCGACCATCTAGCCAAAGCTTTTGAGACGAAAGCCTCTAAATTATCAGTATTTGAAGTGCTACAGGGCTGAACCATATCCTGATTCACTAGATATGCTTGATAGATCAAATCTAAAGCTCTGTTGAAGTTATAATGATCTTTACAGTTTGCAGTCCACATCTCTACGACGACCAAGAAAACGTTTTCTACAGTCCAGAATATATCAGGACTCATTCTGTACCTATCTAAATCGTCCAAGACTTTCGAAAGACCAGTTCCAATAATGCCATGTTTTTCAAAACAAAATTTCAAAACTTCAATCGGAAAGTGCCTAATTGTATCAACATGTAGCTTAAGTTCTTGAAGGGATTCTACAGGAACGTGGTCTATCATGTTATTTTCGGAAATGAAATAATGTGGAATGTCTCCTTTATCTAAGAAAGTAGATAGGAGATTCAACAGGTAAAGTAAGCAACCCCCATTATTATTTTCCCAGCTCGTGAGGGGGACACACTCCATTGCACGCAGAAACACAGCCTTGATGTGTGAAGGAGTGAGACGAAATTTACAATGTTTCGTCTGATAATCAACCAGTACTTTGAAGATATCGTAGTTTTGTTTCTGACATGGGGATAATACATTGAGGAAAATTTCCTTCTCTGCCTTAGAGAAAATAATTTGCCACTCCACATTCGGTGCCTGGCTAGATGCGTGAGGACGGTTGATAAAGATCACTCCAGCGTTTTGGATTTTTTCTCTCAATTCATCGGAAGGCCACATAGAAGGCCGAGAACGAGTAGCCCAATCAGTTCTGGAAGGAATCCATTCGTGGCTTTGAAAGCCATGGTATTCACGAAGATCTGATGAATCAATTGGATCACTCTGTTCAACGAAGCAGTCGTTCTCGATGTAGAATAACTGACTTCCCCAGAGATCATTACTTTCGACACTTGGACGAAGTCTGCAGTAGCCGGGATGTGTTTGGCTTTCATCTACAAATACTTCTTTTTCTTTCTTCTCTTCATTGGTCTTAAACTTCACAATTATGTCTTTACGACAGAAAATTTTCATTGGCACTCTCGGAAACCGACTTGACATGTTTGAAGCGCCATTTTCGGTGCGGTCCGGTAGGTAGGCGTTGCTAGCATCACAAGAACTCCCAGCAAATTCAATAACGCAATTATCAGGAACAGGTTTAGATGTACCAGGAAAAGCTATGTTGACCGGAAGTTGAATACTGTCCTTCATCCAGAATCGCAAAATAAATGACAGATGTGGTAAGGGCACTCCACATTCAGGATCTATGAATAGGGGGTCCACCACTAGAAGATAATGATAATCTGAAAAATAGATAAAATGTCGTTTCCAAAATATGTATAACATACACTTTAAACTTACAGTGCTAAAATGTAATATTAAAGATATATAAATAAGATATATTCACTTTATTACATTTTAAAAAACAAGAGGCCCAGGGGCCACATCGCTCACCTGAGCACTATGGCTAGGAAAAAGCGGAAATCAGTTCAGTTTTGAAAGGTTGAAAAGTTTAAATATAAAAGTGGTTCGGGGGGGGGGGTCATAAATTGAACAAATTTGAATCTACATTATCTGAGGATGCTTCCATTTAAATATGACCAATCATGGCTTTGCTGTTCTTGAGAAGAAGATTTTTAAAGATTTAACCTATGTATTCCTATGTAAAACTTTGATCGCCCATTGTGGCCCCACCCGACCCCCGGGGGTTATGTTTGAACAAACTTGAATCTACACTACCTGAGGATGCTTTCATGTAAATATGACCAATCATGGCTTTGCTGTTCTTGAGAAGAAGATTTTTAAAGATTTTTCCTATATATTCCTATGTAAAACTTGGATCGCCCATTGAGGCCCCACCCGACCCCCGGGGGTCATGATTTGAAAAAACTTGAATCTACACTACCTGAGGAAACTTCCATGTAAATATAACCAATCATGGCTTTGCTGTTCTTGAGAAGAAGATTTTTAAAGATTTTTCCTATATATTCCTATGTAAAACTTTGATCGCCCATTGTGGCCCCACCCGACCCCCGGGGGTCCTGATTTGAACAAACTTGAATCTACACTATCTGAGGATGCTATCATATAAATATGACCAATCATGGCTTTGCTGTTCTTGAGAAGAAGATTTTTAAAGATTTTTCCTATATATTCCTATGTAAAACTTGGATCGCCCATTGTGGCCCCACCCGACCCCCGGGGGTCATGATTTGAACAAACTTGAATCTACACTACCTGAGGATGCTTCCACATAAGTTTCATATTTTCAAGCACAGTGGTTCTTGAGAAGAAGATTTTTTAATGATGCCATTAATTTTTCACGAATTCTTAATTATCTCCCCTTGGAAGAAGGCGTGGCCCTTCATTTGAACAAACTTGAATTCCCCTTACCCAAGGATACTTTGTGGCAAGTATGGTTGAAATTGGCCCAGTGGTTCTGGAGAAGAAGTCGAAAATGTGAAAAGTTTACAGACGGACAGACGGACAGCTAGACGGACTACAGACTAAATGTGATCAGAAAAGCTCACTTGAGCCTTCAGCTCAGGTGAGCTAATAAGAAAAAACTAAAGTTTATGAAACTATGAACCAACTTTTTTCGTTTGTGAACCATCCTTTGTAGACAAAACCGACTGGAAGCTCCTCAACAAGTGTTTGAATCCTCGACAACTGTTCATTAAGCCGTGTTTCCTCATCTTCAGAGATTTCTTTGTCGGTAGATCCATTTGGAAGATCATTTACGGGTACTGCTGGAGTTGGTTCCGTCTCATTATCGTTGATATCGCCCTGGGGACTTAAAATGGACAGCATCGTTTTGTTTTGCATTACAACATTTTCGTAGTTTGCAATCTTTCTTTTCAATTCAATATTGTCCAGCTTTGCCTCGATGTACTTAGTAAGTAGTTGATGGTAGCTCCACTTCTCACGGTAAAGTTGAGCTCCTAAATTATTGAAAAGTGTTGCTTATTAATAATGTGATTTGAGGAAATCTTGTGCGTCAACATTAAATGTAATTCTGGGTTTGATAATGCATGCGGCCAAGGTCTTTGACATTTTGTTTGCTCTGCGTATGTGAAAAAATTATAGAGCATCAAATCGACGATTCGTTTTTTTTAAATAGTTATTTTTCACATTTTCTCATTAATTTGTTTATGTGTAACACGCGAACGTGATTTCCGACCATTCTGTTGGTACATTACAAATTTTCTTACACCTGTCTAAAAGTAAATGTTTTCTTCCCACATATTAATTATAAGTGTTTATCTGAATGCCATTTAATTACAAAATAAATTTACTGCAAGAAAAAAGTTCGTAAATTAATTATCTTCCTCTATATTAAACACTGAAAAGAAGGCGAATCCAAAACCGAAGACAAAATAATTTTCATTTGCAAATTACATTTGTATTTCATGAAAAGGTCTGTGCCATACATTTTCCGGCTAAGCGCAAATAATGACCAGAAAAATGTAGGATTTTACACCTAAGAAAAAACAATCTGATAAAATGAGTGCGCTGTCGCAAAGACTGAATGTCTTTTTGAAAATTGGAACTCTCTGAAAATTGGTAGCTAGCCAGAGATGATCAAACAGTGAACATGACATAAGGCATATACTTACGCTTGGGCCAAGTTTTCTCCCACGTTTTAGGTCTCAGGCTAAGATAATGATATTCACCAATGTGACCAAGGAAAAACTGAGTATCACTTGATTTTCCCGGAGCTGTTGGTACAAGTTCGGTTCGACGAATATCTTTGCCAATATTGAAAACGACGATGGTTGTTCCAAACGCTTCAGAAATAGCTTTAAGAGTTAAATGGTCACCCCAAGACGAATTTCTTTCCATTCTGCACAGGTATTGTTCCCAGGTTTCTTTAGTGGAGAGGAAGTTCCTTAAGTGACTACCGTCTTCCTGTTCCGGGTTTTGTCGTAAGTACCTTAAAAATATTTGCAATTTTTGTGCATTCTAATAAATAGCACATAAGTGTTGGGAGGATTTTCAAAATCCGGTTATGTTATTTTTTTAAAAAAAATTTCATCATATATTGAAGTAATGCATGTATTTGATGACAGCTCGACTGAGGCTTCTATATATGATAAAATTTGTAAAAGCATATCATTCTATGTAGCTTTGGGTTGAAAATCTTTTCCAAACATGGAAACTGTATGCTCTTTAAATTTCTTATTGTATATTGAATTTTTTTAAAGTAATCATACTTAACAGCCCGCAGACGAAGAGATTTTGCAGTTTGTCCAAACTCGGCATTGATTCTCATCTGGTCTTCGACGGCGCGAAACATACAGTTGCCGTCTGCTTCCACATCATGGAGTTCTATATCATTGGCTTCAGCGAAATCCTCCATAGCTCTGGTGTGGTACGTGAAGTAAGTTGTTGTAGGTATGTATTCATAAAAGTTGAATCTGCTATAGTCATAGCAGGAATTGCCTGCGATAAGTTTCTCATTATAGTCAGAAATTCATGAGGTACAATATAACTTTTTAATATATTGAGTTATACATCAATAATATTTGAAAAAATATGGCTGAGAAATCTCTAAATTGTACACAAACTAAAAAGAATGCAACATTGAACTAACATGGAATTAACGTCGCCTTTTTCTTTTAAGGTTTCAGAGATGTTATAATGAGATATGTGAGAAGATGATGAATCATTGTGTAGAATGGGTATTGCAGAATTATTTCTAGTTCTTACCCCATGTGTTTCCAGTTTTTTTGGACCCATATTGTTTATTATAATTTGACCCACCCAGCGTTTTATTTGTCAATGAATTATTGGAAAAATCCCAATAGCTGTCACCATCTTGAGATCCTTGACTTCGCTCAGCGGCAAATATTCTTTCGTTGCTGTTATTTGTGCTTTTCGGCGACTCCATACTGCGTTCATAAAATATAATAAGTGGAAGTAGAAATACTGATAATAGAAATTATACAATCATATTAATACTGATCATATTAAAATGTTTATATATAGTTATTAATTGATGCGCATCCCCTAACTATTTTGATAATGAAGGAAATCATTGCGTCATATTAACACTGCATGTATAATGTGTGTATGAGAGAGAGAGAGAGACAGACAGGCAGACAGACAGACAAACAGAGACAAACCTCTTGGTAACTTTCATTTCTTTGTCTTGGCTTTTTTCAGTACCACCCGAGGATGGAGTTTTGTTAACTGTTACATGTACATTCTGTTCGTTTTTATCCGGTAGAGTTTTCTTTGTGTCTTTATCACAGTTCTCTTCTGTTGATTCTGCTTTCATTGTTGATAAACTATGGACACCATCCGATGTACTCTCAGCTTTTGACTCTCTGGAATGCTTGTCAGAAATGTCAATGCTTAAAGATATATTCGATTTGAATTCCGATCCTCTTTCTTTATTTATCTCCAAATTCTTCCCTGTTCGGCTTACAATATTATAAGTCCCTGATTCTGTTAGAGTTCCGTCCGTCGTTGAACTCACACAATCTAAATTTGGATCTGTACACGAGGAAGATTTTCCAGAATCTCCATATGAATTACAGCTATGCCCAGACTGATAATGTGTATCCCCAGAAACTTCCGTGATTTTAAGTACCACGTCACCAGATTCAGCTGTAGAATTTCCTTGTTCTGTAAAACGGACATGTAAATTACTCTGTAGTTCTATGACATCTGGTGTATGTTGTTTATCGTAATTTGATTCCAGGCCATCAAATTCCAGTTTTCTTTCAATATTATGTTCGCTGGCTTCATTTCTCCAAATCTTTGAATGATCCTTCATAATATTACTGTCAAAACCAAGATCAAAATCGTCTTCAGAACAAGAAAAATTATTTTTAATTTCTTCTTCTTTTTCACTTGTGTTTTCTTCGATTCTTTGTTCGGTTTTCCAAATTCCAGCAAAAGTATAATGAGATTGGTTCCTCCTTTTCTCTATCATTTGAACTACTGAATTGGAGTGACTTATCGTCATCTCACGGAGAGACGTTGGAAGGGAACAGTAACCAGGTGTAAATTGATTGTTGTCTGTTGAGTCCATCATTCTGGGTATAACATGACGTGAACTTTTTGGTAATCCGAATAATTCGTCGTACGCCATATGGTTAAGAACGTCCGTGCGCTGAAATTACAGGAAATTATTGTAATGACACAAAAGCAATTGAATTCACCTCTGTACACTAGCTTGAGGTACATTTCTCATACTGATATAAATGAATTAAATATGGCACCAAGCTAAGCCAAGACTGTGATTTTAATAATCTTATTCTGTAGTTTTACATAAAGCTTCAATGATCTAAGCAAATATAACGATGGGACCATTTCGTGCTCCCTCCTTGTGGTATTTTATTTTAACTAATTGTAGAATTATAAAATTCAAGGATTACTTTTCCCAGCTTAATATTTCTTTGTAATGGACTCACACTAAAATTATATATATTAAAAAGGAAACATTCAATAATTGCAAGCTTAAGGAGACTACAGATTGCTGCTGAGCAATAAAAACTATATGATTAAATAATTCCTAGCTTTGTGATTGGCTGAGATCCAACATTGTAGAAAAATGCTACTTTATGTTAACCTGCACCTGACCTTCCAGGTTAATATAAGGATTTATTTTTTTCTACTATGGAATGAAAATAGATTGAGTACTTCCAAATTGATAATAGTTCTGGAATGTTATTTCACTTGCACCCGACTTCCACTAAGATGAAAATAACATTCAGGCACAGAATCGGGGAGGTGCTGGGGGTCTGTCCCCTCCCCACACTTTTTTTCTTAATGTAATTTTTTACTATTAATTTAGTTTGAAAATGCTCATGGAAAGGCTGGTTGCCCCCCCCCCTTAAATGGACCTAAAACCCCACCCCCACCCCGAAATAAAAATGGGAGTTTGGAGAATTCACCTCTTTCTTTTCTTTCTTTCTTTTTTTTTTCTTTTCTTTTTTTTTTTGGCTACACAATTTTTTTTCAAGTAAGATGCCATTTATTTTCTCTGCCCCCTTTCAATTTCAATATCGATCTGCCTATAACTTCTACATCGCACCTAAAATAGATGTAAGAGTTCCAAATTAATACAACTGGCTATGCTTATTCTAACATCGCTTGCTTCTCTTATTGTGTTTTGCTAGGACTTCAGCAAATGTAAACAAGTAAGATGGCATAGATTGCTTAAGGAGGCTGGGGGGGGGGGGGGTCAACAAATTAACCATCAGATATAACTTATTTTTTTTAGATATGATATCTTAAGCTGTCAACTATCATTTGGCAAAGAAAAAATTCATACATTTTAGTTTTGAAATTTGATCATTTTTGTATATCTTTATATGGAGCTCTTCTTCTAAAGGAAATCAATATAGTCTAAAAATGGCCACGACCACCCAGCCCTCTTAAGGAGGGATTCTTGTCTGGTTTCTGACTAGACGAAATATTCCAAGTATATTTGCTTGTATGTCTTATAAACTTAGCTGTAATGTATTTAAAAGATCATATTTTTCTTTACTCGTCATAATTGTACAATTTTAAATAGAAATGGTAAACTGAGTTTGAAATCCATAAGGGACTATATTTTTGGCGCATGTGCGGCGTATGAAAATATCTCCTTTTCTGCCTGTCAAAATCACTTACAGAACATAACATGTGGTTAATTTTTTTAAACAATCAAAGACTTGAAGAAATTTTGATATGTCACTAAAATTAATGATAATGCCCTAAAGTTTTAGAATATAGCAAATAAAAATGATTTTCTAAACAAACTACAATCTTGTTAGCTTTTGAAAGCCTCCAACCTTAAAACAGATTTGAGCAAAAAATCAGTAAAAAGTGTTTTTTCTCTCTTACTAAACGGTCAAAGCTTTTTGTTTTTGTATTATTTTGTACATTTATATGACTACTTTACCATATGTTATAATAAGAAATATTTAAATATAAGAAGTATATAAAAATAACTAATATATCCTAAAAAATTAAGAAAAACAGAGGAAATCCGGATTAGCCAATATCTATTTAAGTTAAATAATGTCAATTAATTTGGTAGAATCATCTGATAGAAGCGATATGGTAACATCTTTTTGTGCAAAAAGAAAAACATTTTATCTTTTAAAATAGAAGTAGGCATCACATGATTAGCAACAGTAATTTTTTTACTCTAAATGTCAAGGAAAAAGATAATGACCTTGACCTGACCTTCTTTCTAAAATAAACCGGTCAAATTCAATCTAATTGATATCATCACTTAGTGATATTGTCTTCTTGAATTTATGAAAATTTCATTAATTTTTAAATACAAGAAATATGAGTAGAATAGAGAAGAATCCCTCCTTAACGAGTTTGTGTCATTGAATCATAATAAAACAATTTGGACTCGATGAGTGTGGTTAAATCATCGTATTGACTGAAAAAACAGCAATACATGTAATTGAATATTGTCCTGAAAGCTGAATATCTTCTATTCTCAATGACTGCATGGAGTGTAGGACGTGCGCCATGAAAATAGCCTTTTTTTTTTACATGGTCTAACGGTCCAAGGAGCTCTGCAAGAAGAATTTTGTCGTTTAAGAAATGATTTTTTATTTGCCCACTAATTTTAGTTTTAGCATAAAACAAGGCATCAGATGTCTTCAGAATTTTTCAAGATTAATTTTTATACATGTATCTTAAAGATGTTACGATTCAGTAATCAATATATGAAGAGAAAAAAAAAATCGCCGTAATTTTTCGGTATTTGAAGGATTGATTCAAGGAAATCTATCTTTCTCTCTCTGTGTGTGTCTTTTTACAATGTACCGCCTGTAAGTTTACATGTTTCCGAGTTCGTACCCTTTTTGTGGAGAGGAGGGGTGAAGGGGTTATTTTGCACGAAATGATATAAAGGTGCCAACACTTGACAACTTTAAAAGCATGCCCTCATAGTCAGAATATTCCCTTTAATTGTTAGTCTTAAAACATAACAGTTTTTGATAATCTACTTTCACTTTTAGCTGATACCTACATGTACACAATTTATATGGGTTGTATTAAACAAAATACTGTAAAAAAAAAAAAAAACAAACAAACAAACAAACAAACAAACAAAAATTCAGATACTTACAATCTTAAAATCGATGATCGTTTAATTCATATGCATATTTCAAGCTTTCTTTTCTTCAAAGAATTCCAGTTTCGTTCTTCTGTTTTCATGTTTTATTTTGACTTGGGGATTTTGAAGCTATTTATAGAACTTCGATAAAATACATGCCAGAAAAAATAATTTCCGTATTAGAACGACGTGTTAACTATTTTGACAATCATGCACGAGTCATAAAAAACTTTTATGATAACTTTATCAGTACATGTATAAATTTTAATTTTTATTCGTGTCAATACTTTCTTTAAATATTATTAAATGTACCAGAAATTAACCCGTGCACGCACTGATTAAAGAAGATGTGAATCGATTGCCGAAGTCAGTTTTTAACATTTCAAGAACATAAAAAAAAGTTTTATAAAAAAGGTTTTGTTGTGATTTTTTTTTTTTAATTTGGAGTACGAAGTTGTATACCAAATCATACAAATACATTCAAAATATTACGTTTAACTAATTACATGTATAATTATGCATGCATTTTCTTTTCATTTACCATTCAGATATTTTTATGTTGCAAATGACAGTAAACGTTAGATCTATATATATACATGTATGCAGTCAATATTAATGTCTATGTAATCAATACAAATGTTTGTCTGATGGCCTGCAGAGATTGAACATTTAGATTACTCTACTATTTTAATATCTACACTGTATGTTGGCATATTTCTGCCCTACGAAAGCCCATTGAGCTCATTTTCGTAGGTTAAAATAAAATATTTTTAGCGTTATAAAGCGAACCTTTCGCGAATAAACGCGTAACTTTCGCATTATAACACGAAACTTTCGCGAATAAACGCGTGACTTTCGCGTTATAACGCGAAACTATACATATATAGTCATGTTACTCAGGAACCTGTGATCTTGACTGACAGATAAGAAACATGAACACATACGGGGACTTCTATGAATTTATAAATGACATTTCTTCAGAAGATGTAAAGGGAGAAGGTGCGAAAAATGGATAGATTAGTGTTGAAATTGCATTTAATCCTAAAACCCTACTGATTAATAAAATGAATATTCCTTTAAAAGTTTTTGCTTTTCACTTGTTGAATCCAAGAAATTCTTTAGACTGATTTTTTTTTTTCAGGAAGATCTCCACTCGTCGCTTTCTTTTTCAAAGCTGTTTTTTTTTATCATGAGAGTTCACTATAACTTTACCACTAGTAAAGAAATCCATCATTTTAGACTATAAATTATACAATTTAGAAATCTGGCTTAAAAGTGGGAACAATGTATCATTTCATGAGCTTAACCTGCAATATGATGCTTTTTAAAGAATAATTATAATAGGATACTTTTAATCACAAATTTATCGGGGAGGAGGGGTCTACTTTTCTTGATTTTCCTCAATAATTTAAATATACGAGGGGGTTTTAAAATGACTAGCGCTATAAATTAAAAAAAAACTGCTTAAGGTATACAGCAAAGATGTTATATATATATATATATATATATATATATATATATATATATATATATATATATATATATATATATATATATATATATATATATATATATCTTTATCTTTGAATAAATTGTCAATGTTTTCGTAAGTAATGGTATGACCACGTGGCTCAACCTTAAAATACGTTGTTGAATTTCTACAGTGAGTCTATTAGGTTACTCATGTGATGTGACACAATTGTTCCGTAAAATATACAAATTTATCTCATTGTTGTCAATTTTCTGAGATTTTGATTTAATTTCAAAATCTATAGAGAGTGTTAAAAATGATGCCGGAAAGGGGATCATTTTCACGAAAGTTTCCCTTTGGAAAACTCGCATAGGCTTTGAAAATGTTTGAACAGTGTTGAGAAATACAAAATTTGACGACAAAAGAGATTTAGAAAGAGGAAAGACACATTCAATGGCGTGAAAACATAAAATTTCAGCTTTTCATAATCCAAGTTCAAAAAAGTCTTTCGTTTTTCATTGTAATGAATAAACTAGATCATTAAAGTAAAAGAAAATGGAGACTTATGCAAATGTCTGTTTTACAGAGAAAGTTTCGCGTTATAACGCGAAAGTTACGCCTTTATTTGCGAAAGTTTTGCGTTATAACGCTAATTTTTTTTTAACCTACGAAAATTAGCTCAATGGGCTTTCGTAGTGCCCCATACAAAGTAAATTATGTTAATTAACATGCAATATAATTATGTAGACATGAAGGTTCCCAATCTCTTTATAGAATCTAATTTTAATGTTGGTACATGTAAACTTACTAACGCCATTATATGACATCATGCAAGCATGATACAACAGAATTCTGTTTTATGTTAACATGCGAGATAATTATGCAGACATGCGACTTCGTTGTGCAACAAGTGTCACTCGATAAATAAATAAGGAATAAGTAATTTAACATGAGAAATATTTGAAAAATGCAAATTTTTAAACAAAATAATTTAAGAACATTAAATTTCAAATTAAAACAAAAATGAAATATATAACATTTAAAGTCCAAAATGAATTAAGAGTAAAACAGTCAATTTTACACGGTGATATAGACATAATTATCTTGCATATTGATATACTTTTCTTGCATGTTAACATAATTTATCTTGCATGTAAGGGACAGAACACTGTTTACAAGTGGGGGATAAAAATGCTTTTATTCTCTCAAATTGAATTTCTTTCTGGCAAGCACTGAAAAACTTTGCTACAAAACGGTTTTCGGTCCATTACAGTCCCCTGACTGAAGCAACCCCCCCCCCCCCCAAGAAATTCAATTGGGTCGATCTGATTTATTTTTAATTCAAATTATATTTTTTATTTAGTTAATTAGCAATGAAAGTAAAAATGTGTTCCTGCACATGTGGAAGAAAATATTTATCTGAATTGTCATTAATTGATATTTTTCCAAATCATTAAACTGTACTATACATATTTTTTAAGGTGGCATATTTCTGCCC